AGTCACCACGCGAATTGTTTTTTCAGTAGCAGTTACAAAAAAAATAAAAAAAAAAGAAAAAAAAAAGTAGTCTTTATTAAGTCCTTCATGCGTACGCACGCTACACGTCATTAGCGCTGGACCTTGCGCAGGCCTGACGTACCACTGCTGACTTCAAACCACGGTTTCGACCTCAACGCGCTTTATTTACAACAATACAAGGGGAAAAAAAAGTCATCGAGGCGTGATCTTCGTACCCGGACCCACCCCGTCCTCCTTCCAGAACCATCCTTAAGAGGATTTTGTTTCATGGCTACGATCTAAGCAGGGAGTTTACTTTGCCATACAAGTTCCTGTTTATAACACCTATCTGCAGACTTTTAATATCAATAGTGGTGTACAATACGTGAAAATATCCCTTCTGGTTCTTTTCCATCTCCCAGGGCAGCAAGGAAGCCTTCTTGTCTCCTCCTCTGGGCTAAGGCAGCCAGGGACTTGAAGGTTTTCGGCTCATAAATAGCCAAATCGGCAATCACTTTCCTATTCAGCTCCACCTGGGACTAAATGCAAGCAAATTTGTCGGTTAAGTACTGTAATTTTTAGGAATAACACTGCAATGCTTAACGATTACCTGAGGTCTTAAGGCAAATTACCTTTTTTCTGTGCCGTACAATTTTGGAACTATTAGCCAGAGAACTGTCAGACGGGAATACTCAGCCATGGATGTCTCGTTAAGCCACCGTGCAAGATTTTTTACTGACTTTCTCAAAGTCTGGCAGAAACCAAGAACTGAACAAGAACATCTGATTTCAGGGAAGGCCACATTTGACACCTTAATCCATGGTATTTGTTTCAGTTCTTTGACACATTCGAGTTTACTTGCTGTGCTAGAAGGTGTTTGGCATCTTAAAATGTGTCCTGGAGTAAAGATGGACTGCAGGACCAAATACTCTTAACAAAGCTAGATATTGCATGGTTCACTGCATATTGTAAGAGGGAGGTATTACAGAAAACACTTTGCTTCTTTTAGATCTTTTAACAGAGAACCTTATAAAAATACATTGCTCTGAGACAAGAATCAAAGAGGCAGGCATCTCGAGGGAAAAAAAAAAGAGAAATAAAAGAAAAATAAGTTATCTTTTAGGCAGTGCTTGATTCTTCTGGTTACAGTATGACAAGAGTAACCAGGAGAATGAGTGTAAAAATTTCAGAAAACTGTATTTCTTTACAGGAAACATGGGAGAAAACCTAGAAAGTTATCTATTAATTTGAAACATAGGAAAAAATGTTTTGGAATATGCTATGAATTTATGTGTAGTTCCACTTTAAGGAGCAGAAACACCACCTTTTCATTATGATCACAGCCAAGAGGAACTAATTCAAATTTTACAGTTCCAGTATCAACAAGTTAAAACCAATTCCTCAACATATATAAGAACAAGGGACAACGGCACCAACTCTCTGCATTGTCCACGCTCACCGAACCACAAAGCTAGCAGTGAAGAGAGCGGAGATTTCCTAGGGTTGTTTTTGCTAATCCAAGCTTTGTATTTTTAAATGTCTCAAAGTAAAGGCAGCTGTCACTTAACGCCCACAGTAGCAACAAGTGTAAAAGCATTTTACAAGTCTCGTTCTTGAAGTAAAAGTTTGGGGGACAGAACAAGGTTTAGAGCAACAACGTTCACCAGGATAAAAGGGGATTATGGACACAAGGAAGAGAAACAGGTTTCGGGTAGAACTTAGTTCCTGAAGTGAACGAAACTCCTTTCATAAACAGGCAGCCTTTCATCACTAGAACTGGGAAGCAGGACAGTCTTGGCAGAAGTTCAGTCTGACAGCAGGAGATTTTCAATCCCCCCACCCTGCCCTACGCCGCTATTGCCTGCTCAGGCTCCAATCTGGAAGTCCCCACCATTATTCGTCAAAGATGGGCAAGTGGAGGCTGCAGTTCAATTCCGTGCAGTTGCGTTCTTAAGCAGTAACCAGCAACCCCTCGATACGTTTTGTCAGGCTACATCTACTTGAAAGATTTCAGAGTTTCAAGGAATTAATTTGCCTGGCACTTCAGAAGACCTCTATCGGACAATTTCTCCAATTTGTAATTATTCTTCAAGCACCATCCTTACCTTAAGCAGATTGCTTATGAAAGCTGGGTATTTCAAACCATGTTCCAGAGAAGCTGCTTCAATCCTAGTGATCCAGAGCTAAAAGTGTAAAAATTAACATATTGGGTGATAAAATACTTTAAAAGTAAACCTTTTGTCATGCTTATCTGCTCACGCTTAGTAAATATAACATTTTCAGACTTCTCAGTGCAACATATACATGTATGGACTTCAGAATGTGACCCGTTTCAGACCACAGAGGGACTATGCTTACTTCAAACTCGTATTTTTCACCCCCTGGTAAAGCATTTTGAGAGAATCCCCCAGTACGGAAAATGGCCGCTTCAGTTCTGCTCTTCTCTCATTTTAATGTTTACATCTAACATTTTGCTCTTTACCGCTTTTAGGAATCTCTTCTTCTCTCTTCTGGCCTTTGTAGACTTCACAAAAGCTCTCCGGACACTTCGTACAGCCAGCTTATAGCAGCGGTTCTTCCTTCCACGAAAATGCTGAAACGAAAACAAGATGGTTCTTGTTCAGTTATCTCTAAGGCTGTTAAGCCCTTCAGTAATACTAATGTACACTCATTTGCATTTCACAACTCTTCACAACAAGGACCACAAATTACTTCACAAACATCAACGAAGCCTTCAGTTGGCATACAATGAGAATATTTTTTCCTTGTTTTATAGCATGGGAAATCTGAAGCTGAAAAGTTGGAGCAGGCTGAAAAAATTTCAGACCAGCAGGAGGGAGCCAAAACCAGACCTCATTTTTAGGCTGTGGTTCCAGGGGGAAGGCAACCACAAAATCATCCTCAGTGCTTTCAGCCAACCCCTACTCACGCATTTATCCTCATGCCCGAGCTGGCCTCTTGGTTTTGTCAGTATGAATACAGGGATGGGACAGGAGCCTCTGATATGTCAAAAACATTGCAGTTGCCCAAAAAGGGAGCATAATGAAAGAAGTTTACTGGAGCTACCACTGACATCCAACTAACATGAAGGAGGAAGAAGTAGCCAATGCTGCCCAGTCAGGGAAATAAGTAACTACTACTGGTACCGTGGGCAGCTCAGGCACTACAGGACCAAGATACTGTCACTGACTTCAACATTTTCCATCTCAATACTACAGCAAGATGCACCACCTCCCAGGACAGCCTGTCCTTGAAAAAGGTTCTTCCCAAGCCTAGGTACAATAGCTTGAACTTCAGTCGAAATCCTGTTGTGCAGCAGCCTCTTTCCCCTTTTAAAATGCACTTGAAGAGCAAGGTTAATTTATTTTTTTTTTCCCTGCTCCTTTGCCCAGTTCAAAAAAAAAAAAAAATAAAAAATCAACAAAACCCCCCAACCAACACCAGTCCATGGCGTGCTGCATTTACAGACGGCCCTTCCCGTAGCGCCTGCATGCCCTCGGCCACAGCCTTCTCACTTTTATTCATGCCCATCCACATGCACACACGTGCTGCCTTATGGCACGAACACCAGACGCGTTTATGGCCTCGGGCTCTAATCGCATACACATTTATTGACATACAAGGAAAACGCTAAAGCGACGCGAGGCAACGCCACGGCCCCTCGAGGTTTCTCGGAACCAGCGCCACTGGGGCTGGCTCCCCCATCAAGAAGGGCTGGGCTCCATGACCTGAAAGGTCATTCCCACCCTAAGCGATTCTGTGATTTTACACCGCTCGC